CCTAGAAGCGCAGACGCTGGAAGAACCAGCGGTTGCTGCCGGCGTTGTAGCGGGCCTGGAACAGCTTCCTCACCAGCTGCTTCGACTTGGACTTCTTTGCCGCGTCTGACACGTTGATGCGGCCGCGGAGCTCCTTCGACAGGTCCATGTTGTATCGCGTCGGCAGGAAATGCTTGTGGTTCACAACACGCAGAAACACGCCCACGCGAGAGCGGCGCTCAATGGTGCGCTTGCTCATGCCGCGAACAACCTTCTTCGGGTACTTCTTCATCCCGGCAATCAGCGAGTGGCCGTACGGGCGCTCCTTGCTCTTGGAGTCGGTGTTCTGCACAATCACCGCCTTCTTGCCGGCGTAGCGGCCAGAGGTCATGATCACCACCTTGCCAGGCTTAAGGAACTTCATTGTGATCTGCGGGCTACTTTGGCACACACACAAAAAAAAAAGTGCAGAGATACGACAAAATGAATAAAAAGAAAAAAAGAGTGACGGTGCAACGGAGGATAGAAGGCAGGTAAGAAAGAAATCAACGCACCTCGTAGTTGCCGTCGACAGAAAGAGAAACTTTGCTAGAGATCGAACGAGCGGAAATAGCTTGCGCCGCGTAACCGTGGAAGCGATGAGAGGAACATCAGCGTAGTTAATGCGCTCTGCTTGTGCATTCCGCAACGCCTCCCCGCATCCGGGAGCAGAGAGAAAAACAAAAGTGAGTAAAAAAAAAAAAGCCTGCCGCGTCCAGGCTGCTGTGTTTACACCTCCACTCAAATTCTTCAGAATGAGGCTGCTGCTGCTCGTGGTGGCGGCGACGATATAACAGGCAACGTGCACATCGCCTTCACCCGCATGTCTAATACAATGTAATACGGAAGCGACAGAGCAGCTCAAACGAGATGCGGAATCAAAACAACAACAACAAAAAAAAATATGGAGTAGTCCAGTCATACATAAATATAAATATGTGTTCGAGTCATGGGCGTGAGTCCCCTCCTCCCTTAGAAAACGTTTCTCATAACCGAACATGCCCTCCTCCCTCCTCCTCTTCTCTTCTCTTCTCTTCTCCTCTTCTTTTGTTTTATTGCTTACAGATAACTGTTTAACATTTTTCTGTATCGTTTACTTCACCGGCGTTTCGTACTGACAACTGACCCGGAAATATAATTTTCTCATTCAATTTGTTCTTTCACATCGAAATATGTGTGCCTTTAAGGTTAGTTCCTCCGCCTTGAGCGCGCGTTCACGCTTCGTTTGGCTCACGCCTCTCCACGAATTTTTTTTTGTTTTTGTTTTTGTTTACTTTTTTTTTTTGTGCGCTTCTTTCCTTATTCATCAATGCCATTTTCTCTCCTCCCCGTTTTTTTTTTTATCCACAAGCAAACCTCCAAGTTTCTCTCAGTTATTTTCTTTTCCTGCCCCCTAACCCTTCCCCAACCCCCACTCACACACACATTCTCATCGTACTTAATTCACCAATGCCCAAAGGACAATAAGATATTAGCTGCCCACGAGACAAGAACGACGTGTCGTTCTTGTCCCCTCGACCCTTACGTTCAGTCCCGTTCAAAGGTGTTTTTCCACGTGCTTCCAGTTGACAACGTTCCAAAAGGTCTGCATGTACGCCGCACGGTCGTTCTTGTAGTCAAGGTAGTACGCATGCTCCCACACATCGCACGCGAGGAGCGGCTTCAAGGTGGGCTCCGTCAGTGGGCAACCCGCGTCGTGCGTCTGGTAGACCTTCAGTTTGCCGGAGGCTGTGTCCTTCACAAGCCACGCCCAGCCAGAGCCAAAGTGACCAATAGCCACATTTGAGAACTCCTCCTTAAACTTCGCGAAGCTGCCAAAGGAGGCGTTGATCTCGTCAGCCACTTTGCCCTTCGGCTCGCCGCCGCCATTAGGGCACATGCTCTCCCAGTAAAACGTGTGGTTAAAGATCTGTGCAGCAAGGTTGAAAACGGGGCCTTTTTCGGTCTTGATAATTTCCTCGATGGTCTTCTGCGCGAGCAACGGATTTGTCTGTGCCGCTGCGTTAAGCTTCGTCACGTACCCCTGATGGTGCTTGTCGTAGTGAAACGTCACCTGCTCTTTAGAGAATCCTTTGGCGG